ACGACCAGTAGTGCTGTTTTCTGACATGTGTGTCACCCCCATTCTTTAGCCATTTCTTTCTCCATTAACCACTGAAGTTTGTCCACCTTGTTGGCACGAGTGCCCTGTTTCTCCCCTGTGTCTGTTCCAGGCTCTTTTGGGTCAGTCTCATTTCCTCAGTGTCTCTAAGGCCCAAAGGGGAATCTGATGGAAAACAACACTGTACATATCCAAAGATATTTTACACAATTAGGGGCCCTGCAGTGCAGAACCAAAACGGCCTCCTTCACCACGGCACATTCCACATCCTGGGAAAGGTGCATATTATGTGGTGACATCCTCACCTTCATGAAGCCAGAGCATCAGGGCTTGGGTAATGAGCCAGTGTCTTCATTTGGAGAGTCCACTTTGCATTTCTAAAAAAGTGATTTCCCTCACATGACAGACTGACTCTCCTATGGAGGTTCCTTATCCCATCAGGAACAGTCTGCTGTGTTTTAGGATCACCGCTGCCATGTGTGACTGTCCTGCTGTAAGATGTGGGTCTGGCATGAGCCAAAATGGCATGAATCATGTGACAAGGTGATACACCTCTCTCCTGTTACTGCCTGGATTTAGTAGTTTAAAGGGTTTTCCTCTCCAGCCCTACATCGGGGGCACCTTCTTTGACACTAGTTTGTGTTTTCAGCAACATTGTTCATACAGACTGTGGATCAGAGTCTTGTATCCTCAGCTCATTGTGTGGAGGTCCAGGGCTGAGTGCAGCAGTTTTTGCTTTCTTTTCAGTTGTTACCTGTATACACACATTGCTGCACTGTCTCAGTGTTCACTGAGACATGAACCCTTAGAGCTTGACTGTACCATTCCTAATTCCCACTGATAACATTTACTCCCGACAACTTATTGGAGAACTTGCTACCTCACTCCAGGTGATGCTGCAGTGATCAGCCATCAGACGCTCATCTCCACCACCTTTTCATCCCTTGCTTTGCTAAACTATGCTTTAGCCATGTGTCAACAAGCCAGGGTTCTTTAGGCAATCACTACTTCTGATGTAATTATATAGAGTCTGCCAAGACCATCAACAGTCTTTCTGAGCAACATAAACACAGGTCTCAGAATAAGATACTACACTCCTGGTCACTTATTACACAAATGATACGAATGAAAATCAGCAAAGGCACATAGAGTAATTCCCAGGGACACCAGGCACCAGCTCCCAGGGTTCCTCTCCCCAATTAGGCTCCTGTGCACCTTCAGTTCTACATGCAGTGATGTATGACCACACGTGTGAGGGGTTGCCCTGCAGGGAAGCTCCCCTGAACCTTGGTGCCCATCATTGCTCACTGGGGTCAGTCATAGGGTTTCACCACCCACACATCTGATCTCCGATACACAGAAATCAACCCCCTCTGGGAACAAACAGGCATTCACCACAAATCAGCATGTGATCAACTAGTACAGAGTATTCACCCCCCAAACAGATTGAAAAGCAAGTTAATTGATAATAATAATGGGACTGTGAGGAGACCTTGGGAGGTGGCAGATATATGTAGGTGTTAATGTTGGTTATGCATAATGTATATGCATACACCCAAACTCAGTGAGTTCTCCAAGTTATTTACTGGGGAGTATTTACATGGACATTGTATCTTATTTATTTATTTTTTATTTCTTATAGCATAACTGTGTACATTAATGCAATCATGGGGTACAGTGTGCTGTTTTCATATACATTTTGAAATACTCTCATCAAACTAGTTAATATAACCTTCATGCCATTTTCTCAGTTACTGAGTCAAGACATTCATACTCTGCTTTTAGAAAGATTCACTTGTACCCTTGTAAGATAAACCATGCAGGTGACCCCACCAATCACCCTCCCTCCCCACATCCAGCCCCCTCACCTCCTCTCTCCCACTCCCTTCTCGTATTCTAAGGCTATAATTAGGTTATGACATTCCTATGAAAGCTATGAATCAGTTTCAAAATAGGGCTGTGTACATTGGATACTTTTTCTTTCATTCTTGAGATACTTTACCGAGAAGAACATTTTCCAATTCCATCCACATAAACATGAAGAAGGTAAAGTCTCCATCTTTATTTAGGGCTGCATAATATTCCATGGTGTACATATACCACGATTTATTGATCCATTCGTGGGTTGATGGGCACTTGGGCTTCTTCCATGACCTAGCCATTATGAATTGGACTGCAATAAACATTCTGATACAAATATCTTTGTTGTAACGTGATTTTTGGTCTTCTGGATATATACCTAATAAAGGAATTGCAGGATCAAATGACAGGCCTATTTTTAGTTCTCTCAATGTTCTCCAGATGTCTTTCTAAAAGGAATGAATTAATTTGCATTCCCACCAGCAGTGTAGAAGTGTTTCCTTTTCTCCACATCCACGCCAATGTCTCTGGTTTGGGGATTTTGTGATATGGGCTAATCTTACTGGAGTTAGGTGGTACCTCAAAGTAGTTTCAATTTGCATTTCTCTGATGATTAAGGATGGAGAGCATTTTTTCATATATCTGTAGGCCATGTGCCTCTCTTCTTTAGAGAAATTTCTATTCAAGTCCCTTTCCCACCCTGAGATGGGATTGCTTGTTTTTTTCTTGCTAATATGTTTGAGTTCTCTGTGAATTCTGGTAATTAAACCTTTGTCAGAGAAATAATCAACAAATATCTTCTCCCATTCTGAGGGCTGCCTGCCTGCTTTATTTACTGTGTTCTTGGCTGTGCAGAAACTTTAGTTTGATCAGGTCCCAAAAGTGTATTTTTGACATTGCTTCAATTGCCTGAGGGGTCCTACTCATAAAATTTTCACCCAAGCCGATTTCTTCAAGTGTTTTCCCTACACTTTCTTCTAG